TTATTGAACGGTAACTATGTACATTAATGAACTTCTAGGGTACAGTGTGGGGTTTTCACATGCAATCTGAAATACTTCCATCAACTGGTCAACACAGCCTTCATGTCATTTTCTCAGTTATTGCTTTAAAACATTCACATTCTACTCTTAGGAATCCCTTATGTATTTTAGATACGAAGTCCTTACCAGACAGATGCATGGCTTGCAAGTATTTTCTCCCATCTTGTAGGTCTCTTTACTCTGTTTTCCTTTGAACACAATTGTTTCGTTTGTTGTGCCATTTGTCTATTTTCTGCTTTGTTAGAAGTCTAAAAAATCATTACTAAGACCAATGTCAAGGAGTTTCTTTAAGTTTACTTCCAGGCCGTTTGCATTTTAGGTCTTTAAACCATTTGGGGTGCTTTTTGTGTGTGGTCCAATTTTATTCTTTTGCATGTAAAGATCCAGTCTTCCCAGCACCGTTTACTGATGAGCCCCTTCCACCATGGTGTCTGGATGCTCTTGTTCACAAGTAGCTGGCCGTCAATTCACAGGTTTGTTTCTGGTTGTTGTATTCTGTTGCATTAGTCTGTGTCTGTTTTCATGCCGGTACCTAAGTGTTTTTATTCCTATAGCTTTGTAGCAGATTTTTGAGATGGAGTAGTATGATGCCTTCCAGCTTTAGTTTACTACATGGATTACTTTGGCTGTTTGGAGGTCCTCTGTGGTAATTGCCTTATTGTTTTTCTATTTCTGTGAAGACTGTCATTATGTTTTGTTAGGGATTGCATTAAATCTGCAGATCACTTTAGGTAGTATGGGTGTTTGAACAAAATTCTTCCAATCTATGAATACAGTATCTTTCCATTTGTGTCTTCAATTTCTTTCAGCAATGTTTTATAGATTACTTTCAGAAAAAATGTGTCCAGCCATTTTTCTTTTCTGCCACACACTGGAAGACCAAGAGTTGTTTGAGACCATACATTAAATACACAAACAGTAATGAAATCTGATAAGCATGAAAAAAAGGTCCGTGCATACATTCCATGATATCTGACACCACAGATAAGAAAAACAATCCTCAAATAATGTGGCCCAGAGGCTGCTGGTTGGACATGTCTGGCTCTAGATCATTTAACTCTTTGAAATTTATTGTTAAGTTTTTTAATTTAGGTTGCTGTTGTAAATAGGACTGTTCTCTTATTTTGGGATAGTTCATTAAGTGAATAGAAAACCTAGTTGTACGTTTTATGTCCTGAAACATTACTGAAGTCACTTACTCTAGCAGGTTTTTGGAGCCCTTTGTGTTTTCTATATGTAAGATCATCAGGGGTCTCTGGGGGTCTCCAAACTCTTGAGCTGTACAGTAGACCTGGTCTAGTCACTCAGAAGAACTTAGCACTTAGTCCTGGTAAATTAAAGTGGTACAGGAGGAGTGGAAAATGAAATGGCCAGGCTCCAATGCAGAAGAAAGGAATACAGTTTATTTAAACAAAGCATGGAGAAGCATAGACTTTTCCATTGAGATTGGAAAAGGGTCTCTGTCAGGCGTGAGAGGAGACCCTGACCCAAAAACAATACACTGATGTAAGAACTTCATCTTATCTCCCACTACAATTACCTGGAAGAGTTCTTCATTAGTTCCCTGAGGTCCTTAGGTATTCTTGCCTATTTCTTATTGGTCTCAGGTTACCTTAGCTATTGCATGCACCCCAGCTCCCCTTACGTGTTAACAATAATACCTGTTATTTCCAGATAATTGTTTGGTGGTGATAATACTCTTGTGGTATGTGTGACATTTCTGTGTGCTCCATTTGGTAACTGTGACCATTATTGCAACCTAGAAAATGCACTTTGTGGAGAACAGGATGTACTCGATCAACTAATTCAAAAGGTCCCTGAAACTCATTGTTTGCTGCGGGGCCCTTTTTAACTTTCTTGGCTGAAGGCCAAGCTTTTCTCCTACTTCCCCACAGCCCCTCTTTGTTTGTAATCAAGAGTCATGTCTACAAACAGACACTTCTTTCTATCAGATTTGGATGCTTCATGTTTTTTTCTCTTCACTGCTCTGACAATTAGAACTTATGCCCTCTTACCACCTCTGTTGACATCTTTGTCTTGCTACTGATAGTAGAGAAAAGCTTTCAGTTTTTCACCATAGAGCATTACCCTAGCTGTGGACTTGTTGTACGTATGGCCTTTATTGTGTTGAGGTCCATTCCTGCTATTCCTCATTTGGGGGTTTTATCATTAAATGATATTATCATATATTTTGTCGAATATTTTTAAAGCATCTACTGAGATGATCGTAAGACTAAATATTTTGTTTTTGTTTTTGTTTTTTGTAAACAGAGTCTCACTCTGTCACTCAGGCTAGACTAAGTGACATCATCATAGCTAACAGCAACCTCAAACTCCTGGGTACAAGGGATCCTCCTGCCACAACGTCCTGAGTACCTAGGACTGTAGCTGCCTGCATTAATGCATGGCTGCATTTTGTATTTTTTAGTAGAGACACATTCCTCAGGGGATTCTCCCAACTCAGATTCCCAGAATGGTAGGAATACAGGCATGGCTTTGATGAGGGCCCAAAGTGAAAGAAGTCTTTGCAACAAGTGCAGACAGCAGACAGCCTGAATCCTGTTACCAGCAGGTGCAATGCTCGGTGTCTGAAGCAGATGAGGTTCCACCACAGAACTTTTGGCAGGAAACTGTAGATGAATTGGCAACACAGATGTTTAAGATTCAGAAGCCAAATGAAGCCATTTCTGCAGAGAATAGTTCTCCATTAGTGACACTGCTACTATACTATACTGCAGTAGAGACTGAACCCTTGGTTGGCCTTGAGTAGGCAGGTTACCCAGTGACATGAGCTGTCCATCATGAACTGGGTGTGGACTGACCAACCAAATAGCCCACTGTGCAGGCCCACCTGCTCCCATAATCAAAATATAGCGCTTTATATGAGATTTGGCAGGCTGAATGATGACCTCCCAAAGGTGTCCACGTCCTGATCCTCAGAACCCGTGAATATGGTACCTTACGTGGCAAAAGGAACTTGGCAGTTGTGATTAACTTCAGGATCTTGGGGCAGAGAAATTATCCTGGAACATCCAGGTGGGCTCAGTGTAATCACACAAGGACTGTGTAAATGAAAGAAGGAGGCAGGAGGGTGAGAGTCAGAGAAGAGAAGACACTAGCAGACATTAGAATAATGTGGTTGCTGGCTCTGAGGATGGAGAGGTGGGAATCAAGGAATGCAGGAAGCCTGTAGATGCTTGAGAGAATGTAAGAGAACAACAGACAATAGTTCAAGGAGATGCATTTTGGACCTCTGACATCCAGAACTGTTAGATAATGACCCTGTGTAATTCAAGCCTGTAAACTTGTATTATTGATCAGAGTAGCAAAAGAGAGCCCCCACACTGAATATCACCTTTATGATAATTTGAGCTCCACAAACTCAGGGTTTCCTTAAATTTGGTCAGTAATGTATTTCCATGGGCAGGCACGTTGCACAACTCAATAAATAAGCACCCTGTTGATGCTTGGGCAGGGTGGAGTTGAGACCAGGAAGACAATGGCCGATGATCAGAGGAGACCCCATTTCTTTTTTTTTAACTTAGTTATTTCCTTCAATTTTCAAAATCATTAGATACATTATTTCCAAGGAAAATTTATAGGAAATTATAAAGCAAGCAATAATAGAGTTCTTTACAATTAGATCCAATATAAAAATAAATTTCGCATATTGAAAATTTATCAAAATTCCTAATACATTTTGGCAATCTGACAATTTAAAGACACTTTAAAAGTTGCCTCACTGAACTACTATAGACATGTTTGAGAAAAATCCCATCTGAAAGTCTAATATTTCTTCCTTCTAAAGCATTGAAATAATTTATTGGAAAAATCCATGAGCAGTCCATGATCATTTTGATTTTTTTTAGGAGACCCCATTTCTCCTAAAAATGTGTGAAATGTCTGCAGAGAGCCTGATGTACACCTCAGTCCTCGGGAAATCAGCAACAGGCTTCTGAAAGAAAGGACAGTTCCTTTTTCTGTGGGACTGCTGTTGTGACAACCCATGTTGGGGAGGCCCAAGCTTCACCCTGCCCACACCCTGTGCATCTGTCTCTCCTGCAGGCACCCTGGTCTCCTCCATCTACATAGCTGGGGCCAGTAGGAGGAGATGAAATGAACCCCATCCTTACCAGACACCAAGGTGTCTGCCTTGGTGAGATGTGAGGAGGGGCAGGGGAGGCCCTGTCTGGGAGGGATGGCACCTCACAGCCAGGCACTGCTCTAACAGGAGACCCCAGGGACTCGGGAGGCTCCTGTGAAGCAGGGGATGTGCTCAGCCTTCATGGGATAAATCTCTGACAGGGAATTCTCTTCCAGGGTTGAGTCTGGCCTCCAGGATCTGCGTACAAGCAAGTGAGTCTGCTCCACCTGCCTTGGTCCCAAATAGGAAGAAGGGGACACCTGTGGGCAGCTGGAAATGGTAGACACCATCTCTGGGCTGATTGAGAGGGACATCTGAAGGGTCCTGGACTGAGAGCTGGGATCCTAGAGGTGACAAGGTCTTGGGACCCAGCCTCTGATTTCCTTCCAGGGCCCCTCCCCAAACCCACCCTCTGGGCTGAGCCAGAATCTATGATAACTCAGGGTTGCCCAGTGGCCATCTAGTGTGAGGGAATTCTAGGTGCCCCGGAGTACTAACTGGATAAAGAGGGATACTTAGTACCCTGGGACAGACAGAAAGGAGCCTAGGTACAAGGCCAAGTTCAACATCCCATTCATGACAAAGCACCATGAAGGATGATACCACTGTCACTACTATGGCTCTTCTGGGTGGTCAGAGCCCAGTGACCCCCTGAAGCTTATGGTGACAGGTGCGAGGACACTTGGGGGTCCCAGCCTCTGCCCTCTCCCCTCCCTGTTTCCAGGGAGCCCCAGGTGGGAGGGTGGGGTCAGGGAGCAAGGGCTCTGGAGCCCTAGACCCTAAGAATGAGAGACAGTGACACCTGCAGGCCAGGCCAGGACACTGAGGAGTTGACAGGAACCAGCACCTGCAACTCACAGCCTGTCCTTCCCCCCAGGTGTGTCTAGGAAGCCCTCCCTCCTCGCCCTGCAGGGCACTATCCTGACCTATGGACAGAGCCTGATCCTCCAGCTCTGATGTTGGCTACGACAGATTTACTCTGTCCCAGGATGGTGGACGTGTCCTCACTGAGCGCCCTGGCTGGCAGCCCCAGGCTGGGGTGTCTCAGGCCGACTTTCCCCTGGGCCCTGTGTGGGGCTCCAATGCGGGTCATTACAAATGCTGCGGTGGATACAACCACTCGTCAGAATGGTCAGCCCCCAGTGACCCCCTGGATATCCTGATCTCAGGTGAGGAACCCAGCAGGTTCTGTCAGGGACTCAGACTCTGCACAGTCCATGTAGGGGGGGGAGAGAGGGAAGGGGGTGATGGCTGGGAGGAGGTGGGGGTCTCAGGGAAGGAGAGGGATGGAGACACAGAGGTAGGTGGGGAGGGGGAGACTCAGAGACATGGAGACAGGGACACTGAAGGTGTTCAGAGAGAGGCCCAGAGAGGTATCACCTGAGAGAAAGGCAGGAGGCCGCCCTCACCCCTCCTTCCACTCTCTCTAGGACAGCTCTTTTACAGCCCCTCCATCTCAGTGCAGCCAGGCCCCATGGTGGCCTCAGGAGAGGATGTGACCTTTGTGTGCCAGTCACAGAGCCTGACAGACACTTTCTTTCTGGCCAAGGATGGGGCAGTTGATCCCCCACTGAGACTCAGCTCAAAGTCCAGAGCTGGATAGTACCAGGCTGAATTCTCCATGGGTCCTGTGACCTTAGCCCATGGAGGGCAAACACTCCCTCTACCTATTGTCACTGCCCAGTCACCCCCAGGAGCTCATGGTCTTAGGTGAGCACCCCTGACCCTTCCATCTCTGGGCTCAAAGGTCAGCTCAGGGTCTTGCCCCAGGAGAGCCCTGGGATGGGATGGGGTGAGAGGCTCTGAGGGAGGGTCATCCAGGGGGCTCACCCCTCAGAGGGAGGAGGCCAACAGGGTCTTCCAGGTGCCCCACCCCTTCCCCTGTCACCTGCATTGGGAAGACAATAGGCAGGTGCAGGAAGGGTCTTGAGGCCACAGGGCAGATGTAGGGGGAGAGTCTGAGTGAGAGTGGGAGTTCCAGGGGTAGCAGCACCCCTGACACCCTTTCTGTATTAATTCCAAGGACCTACTGTGGTTATCTTGGTTCAGAAAGAGCAGGGTCTCCCCTCCAACAGGGGAGCCCCAGCCCCTCATCCGGTTATTGTCCCTATTCTCAGGACCCTCCCTGCATCCCAGTCCCCATGTCACAGAGAGGGGATATCTCAGCTCCTTAGGAGCCCCCCCCACCTGGGACATCCCCAGGCCCTCCCCTGTTATTGTACTCATTCTCAGGACCCTCTCTGCATCCCAGCCACCCACCCACAGAGGCAAACTCAACAGCTAGTGAGTCCCAGGGGTATCTCAGCTCACTAGGAGCCCAGCCACCCCCCCACCCCCCCGCCAGGGGAGCCTCAGCCCCTCACTCTGTTATTGTTCTTATTCCCAGAATCCTTTCACCCCAGGCCCCCAGCCACAGATCTGACCTCAACAGCTAGTGAGTCTCAGGGGCATCTAGGCTCAGAAAGAGCAGAGTCTCCCCTCCAACAGGGAGCCCCAACCCTTCTCCTGGTTATTGTTGTTATTCCCAGGACCCTCTCTGCACACCAGGCCCCCACCCACAGATCTGACCTCAACAGCTGGTGAGTCTCAGGGATATCTCAATTTATATGTAGAAGAGTCACTCCTCCATCAGGGGAGACCCAGCCCCTCACCCTTGTTGCTCTTATTCCCAGGACCCTTCGTGCACCCCAGCCCCCCACCCACAAATCTGACCTCAACAGCTGGTCAGCCCCTAGGGATATCTTGGCTCAGAAAGAGCACAGTTTCCCCTCCTCCAGGGCAACCTCAGCCTCTCATCCTGTTACTGTCCTTATTCCTACACCCTCTGTACACCCCAGCCCTCCACCCCCAGGGCCCACCTCAGCACCTGGTAGGTCACTGCAGTATCTTGCTTCACAGAGAACAAGACCTCCCCCGGGATAGTTTGGAATCTCTCAGGATCTCCCTCCTCTCAAATGTTCAAGGGTGGGCTGTGTCCAGGAGTCTGAGAGTCAGGCAGAAATGTAGGGGGATCCCAGGCTCCCAAGGGTGCTAAGACTGTCTGGTGAGGATGGAGTGCCTAGGCAGGGGAGAAGTAGGGCCCAGCCTGAGGGAGGGGCCAGCTGCAGTGGGGAGCAGACAGTCCTAGTCCCTCAGTTCCCTGTACTGAACGATGAGGTCAAAGGATCACCCCTTAACCCATGGGGTCAGGCCCCAGAGTAGCAAATGAAGGGTTCTAAGTTGGAGGTTGTAGGCCCAGGGAAGGTAAGGCTGAGTTAAGCCATTGGTTCAGGCTGCTCTGAGAACAGGGACATGGACAACCTCTTCCCAGCTGGGCCTCAGTTTCTCTAGGTGTGAAAGGGACAGACCTGGCCCAGAGGAAAAGCTCCTTCCAGGTCTGGCTCCTGCTGTGACTTTCTGGGAGAGGAGGTCCCAGAGAAGCTTCCAGGAGCAGGCCAGACAGTGTCCTCTCCCATCTGCTACTGTCACATAGGCCCTGTGCAGGGCAGGGAGCAGGGCGGTGTTGCGGGGCATGCAGCTCCACATGTCCTTTTAGCTGAGGGTCAGCTCTGGGGGAGGAAACAGGGCTGGAAGTCAGCCTCAGGGTCACTTCCCAGCTCTGCCACCTCCTG